GTTTCTTTAAAGTTCTGTATCTTTGCAGAAAAAAATGGTAGCGGTTTTTCACATACTGGAAATTAAAGATAAAGGTTTGTACTTTATGCTCCTGTAAACAGTATCGCCAAAAAAAAATGTGGCAAGTCCATGCATTTCGTCAAACTTTGTAATTATCAATATATCAAACATGACCTCCCATTTACAGTGTTATTGTCGTAGAGATGCATCAAATCTAAAATCGACCTACAGGGTCTTAAAGTAGAGATCTCAAGCTTTAATTTAAAAAAAAGAGCATAACTTTGCGATGATTTTTCACGGAGTTATCATCAGTCAAATTTGGCCAATTTTTGCCTAAATTTTTTCTATGCCATATTTCTTTTGAGCAGTGTATTAGTTAAAGAAACAAAATCCATTTATTAAATAATTTTATATCTTAACTGGTTATATTCTGGAAAGTAGAAGAGGTCAGGGTCCTGCCCCGTAATCGCTACGTGTATTTTGGTTGCAAGTTTGCACCTTGCTGGACTTTTTTTATGTTATTTGTCATTTTTTTCTTTTGTAATAATTTTAATATACGTTAAAATATTTTTGAATTATCGTTGTACATTTCTATATCCGGAGGGTAAAATAAAACTGTATATAATAAAATATACCCTAGACAAATAGGCCAAAAACCGGAATTTCGATTTCTCCCTTTTACTAAATCCACAGATCAGAAAAGTGGATAAAATGTTTTTTTTTAATATGCTATCAATTGATGTATTGGATGTTTCATTTGGCTCAAGGGCATTTTGGCTATCATTGGCATCTTATTTGGCTAGATCTTTTGATGAAAAGCCGCAAAATAGTCATCAATGTCTTAATGTATTTGCTTATACAAAAAGGCAGTTGTAAAAAAGTAAAATACTTCAGCCCACATTTTTTATAACTATACTTATTAACTTTCTTTTAAACCCAGAACTTCTCAAAATTACATGGTGCAGGTCGTTCTAAAGGAACACATTCAATACTTTCATTTAAAGGAAATTTACTATTATGATACAAGACACAGCCTCTACAAGTCCTATGGGCCTCAGTATTTTGTGAAAATATTATTGCAACACAGGAAATATAATTGATTTCAAGCCAAGTAGATAGGAATCTACCATGATAAAGACAATTTTCTTTCTAAGTAATTCAATAATTCAATAATCATATGAAGAATTAACCCCTTGCTATACTTTGACGAGTCTGACTTGTGATATACTCATAGTTTAAATGTAACAAAATCTTATTACAATTTTCAATGTGCTTTAATCTAAGGTTTAAATCCAATTTTTACTTGTATAGTTAAACAGCATTGAATACAAAATTGGTACAACACTTTAACTTTCTTTATTTGTTTTAAAAGTATAATAGTGAAGAATTAGTGCTTCCTGACACATTTGACAAATAAATTGTACAACAAGATGTTAATATAAGCAATAAACTTATCTTTTCAAAAATGTATAAACTATTGGGAAATCTTTGTGTCAATTTTCATAAATCTTGATATACTCCATGCAGTATTTGACACATGCATAAAATTTGTGGTTTAGTGACTAACCTTGTATCAGTTGGCATTCATACCTCAGTAGACCAAATGAATTTTATATCTAGTGGCACAAACAACCCAGTTGATTTAGGATCCATCAGAATCAGTAAGATTGAAATCCTTCATGTATCAGCAATAAATGATGTCAAGTCCATACTGTTGCCTAGGCACCTTCGACACAATAGAATATATTTAGAAACAACAAATTTACATCAATACTACATCTTATGCTTTTTATAAAAAATATAAAAAATACATACCAATTTGCATTTCCATTAGAACAGCATTATTTTGTCTCTAGTTCAAGAGAGTAGAATTGTATAGTATCAAAAACCAAATTTTGGTTTTTGCGAGTGGACACCTGCCATTAAATAAGATTCTAAATATAGTTAGAAACTATTTTGACACTATCTTTGTTAGTTGTAATGATTCGATAATTTATATTAATGCCTTACCAAATTTTTATAACGATTATGTTCACCAATATAAAGATATCGCGGCAGAAATCGAGTTCTACCACGCCATTCGTATACTGCACAAACCTAAATTTATTAAAATATCAGCAAGAAAGAATTGTTTGAAAACAAGAAAGTTACTAAAATTTATGAAAAAACTGTTTTGATACCTGACGACTTCTACTCGCTGCTCTTTGATAGCTTCTGCGTTGTTTATAGAAAATGGACATGGTACGACAATGAAATGGCTCTGAAAAAAGGCACATAAAAAATACGCAATGTCAACTGAAATAGACCATTCAATTTATTTACAAACCTTATTGTAGTTTAATTAATTCCAAATTTACGAAATATCATTTCGTAAATATGCCGTAACTCCTTCAAATTACTATAAATCTCACTGAATTTCTGTTTAAAATGAAAAAAATGAATAAATATATTATTGCAGAATTAGAAACATGAACTCAACGACACTTCTCGGCAACTTTCCCGCGAAGCTTGACAAACGCAAATGAAACAGTTCAAAGTAGCAAGACTATGCCGGCTCGTGAAACTCGCCTAACTTCAATACATTCCCCTCCACTCGGCGTTGTCGGTTATACACACAGTGGCTATAATATACGAACCCGAGAAAGGAAAAAAATGGATGATCAAATATAGATATTTAAAAATTTGCATATTTAAAAATTTAAAAGTTTGAGAACATGGAAATTTATAAATTTGGAAATTTTGGAATGTAATAACTTGCAAAAGAAACTTCGGAATTTGTGAATGTAGACAGCTGTAAATTTGGACGTACCGTATTTGAGAAGGTATAAATTTTCAAATTTGGGAATTTGTAAGTTTAAAAATTTTAAAATAGAAATAGAATAAGTATATAATATATTATATATAATAAGGTTAACAAAATTTGAAAATTTGAAAATGGGACAATTAAAAATTTTAAACTGTAGAATTGAGAGGTTAAAACATTTGGGAACTCCAACTAGAGTCTGGAAATTGAATACTTGTGAATCTGAACATTTAAGAAACTATATACTGTGAATTTAAAAATTGAAAAATTGTTAATGTGTTTAAATTTACAAATGTAATAATTTAATAATTCTAGTAGTTAAGAAATTGTGAATTTACAAATTTGGAAATTTGGAAATTTGGAAATTTAGAAATTTAAGTATTTAGAAGTATGAGAATTTAGAAGAGCATTTTAGGAATTCGTCAATTAGAAAATATTGATCACTGAGTATACAGGTTTGGCGCGAAGAATATTCTAAGTGCGCATGCGCGAATGATGTTGATTGGCTGGTGTTACAACCAATTACGGTTGATATACACATGACGGATAAAAACTCATTATACTGTAAACAAGGATAACATTCGTTCAACAGAAATTTGAAAATTGTAGCTTTTTGATTGGCTAGTTTTCTGAAAATTTCAACAAATCACTGACGGAATTAATTGCGCGCAAATTGAAATGTATTTTTAAATATTATTCATAATAAATGAATTGATTGTTTATTATTTGAATTTTAGTCCGATCTTGTATGCAAGGTAAGGCAATAATTATTAACTCCCTAAATATTTTCGAATCCATCAGATCCGAGGAAAAATCAGTAAAACCAAAATTGTACGGTAGAGGTCTGCTATATAACAATAATAATTTTTTGTTTATGTGGCGGCACTTCGGAAATGTGAATGTCATCTCTGTTTTTTTAACTAGAACGATATGTTATTCATAGTCTGTGTTAAGCCAATTGCAATGGAAAATAATTTACTTTCAGAAAATGATCGAATACTTCCTTGCCGTCTCTGGTTGTTGATAATACTTCATCCTGCCTTCGTAATCTCTTGTTATGGTTTGTTAAATAGAAATAAACATTGAATCACAGAATTAGACGAAAGCAGCATCATGTTTCACCCATGAAAACCAAGAAACACCGTGTTGGAGGTCCCAACCATATGCTTCGCAAAATACTTTCTTTACCATGCTGTTCCTATTTCCTTGTCCTTAACCTTGGGTCCCTTCCTGTCATCAGTCCTAGCCCACTCAAGTACCCATAAATTACCACCTCTCGAAATCCACTTTCTTTCAATATTTTGTCCAATCCCTGTTCTTTTCCTCCACCCTCGTTAAATAGTTTCAACCAATAAGCATTTCCCAAAAGGTTTCTTTTTCACGATTTTTACTCCGTCTCGTTAGAATTCATTCGCAACTCAACCGTGTTAGTTCATAAACTCGTTAGTTAACTGTTGTAAGATATTTATGCGGAAATAAAATTAACTATTTAAAGTTAATCCCGAATTATCTGAATCCGGTTTTCCAACAACCGAGTTAATTTTTATTATAATTTTGAATAAATATATGTTGCATATATCTACATAATATGTTCTATCGCTAAAACAATTGCGCAAGCAAGTTTTCCATTAGAAAAAAAAGAACAACAGAAAAAAGTTTATATACAAATTATTCTCTATTATAATAAGATTTTAAGATATTGAGTTGTAAGGGGCAAACGAGAAATGAAAGAATAGGACTATAAAATAATGTCTGGATTTAATAATCTTCAAAACCAACCGCATCGATGTCCAATCGATATAATACATAATCGATATACTGCTATGCTCACACATTGCATTCATTATACGGTGTCCAAAATAAAAGATGCACAATCATGTTAATATATAAAAAATGTTTACAGAATAAAATACGATTTCCATATCCAACTGAAACGACTGTATCAATTATCGATGCCTGTAATTATTAAATATTTCACAATATAATTCGATACAACTTACTTAAATAGTAATTTTACAAATATTTTTCAACTTATTTAAATGTGTATTAGTCGCATTATTTAATTATCCAAGAAGTATTTAATATATAAAATTCAGATATTCTTAACGTTCCTAATAAAAAATTACTGTATAAAGTAAACATACATATACTAATTATATAATCATATATTATGACACAAATTGACATAACTATTCATGTGATAATTTATCACATTGACGACATATATTCATGAATTCATAAATTTTGCATATTCAGAAATCGATATTTTCAATATTTCGAAAAATATTTTCGAGGTTCGTATCTGACATAGAAATGTCAGCATTTAAGTAAACCATATAGTATTCCTTTGGATGCGAATGTGGACTTCTTTCGGGACGAAAGGAATTCATTATGGCTTCAAGTGGTTCAACGTGTAGTGGACTACACTGTAGTCCATGAAGAGCTCTATACCGCAGGACCTATTGCCTGTTGAGTCTCATACGGATTTGTCCCAACGTAAACATACACGTGTAACGTCCCTGGGGAAACCTTTTTTTTTCTTTTTACCGGCATCATCGCGACAATCTTCTATCCATCGATTAGAATAGTCAATTATCGACCGTAGTTACCAATTATCGACAGTACATTAGGTATCTATTACCATATCTATCAAATTCGACAGTCGGTAATCAATATACAGGGTGTCTCACAACTCGTGTAGGTCCCTGAAATGGGAGGTAGCTGACGTGATTCTAAGCAACATTTTCCTTTGCAAAAATCGGGTTTGCAGCGTCGTTTTCGAGTTATTAACGAAAAACACGGTCCAATCAGAGCGCCGGGATTACGCGCGCCGAGAAGCGAGAGCGAAAGCTTCGAGCCGGTCGCCGGAGTGCGAACGCGATCAACTGAGTTTTCCTCGGAACTCTCTTAACGTCTAATAAGAAGTCTTTACATCGAAACTCAGTTAAATAACAAACAGAATAATTAAAAGTAATGTCCATTTATTCATTCCTCATGAAGGAGAATCGGTATTAGTTATGTGTAATTGATCTAAAGTATGCAAATGGAATTTATTGAATACTGTAATTCGTTATCGACAAGGAATGTGACATTAAATATCGAAATTTATTTGTTTTATTTCCGACAATAATATTGGCCAACGAATTTACGTATTTTAATAGGAAATACTTATTCTGTTTGTAAAAAAAAAAGAGTTTCAATGTGAGATCTAACAAATGTATCAACGTCTCTACTAATTTATAGGAAATTTATTAAAATAAGACTTACCAATTCTTTGAAAATAATCCTGTTTGTTAATAATCCGAGAGTGAAAGTGATGGGGTAATTGCCACTGGGTCGTCCTGCCGATGTTGACCTGTCGCAGACATTGGCACTTTATAACACAGCTGGTGTCACTCACAGGTCACTGCACTGTCTTTATTTCAAAACACTTTTGTTTTCACTTTCACTTTCTGGAGAATCCCTGGTAAAAGGTATTGTCCTTCCCGACGCCTCCGAGGGTGTCCGAAAGGGGCCGATTATTTTAATATTGTCCTGGGCTGCTCCTGTGACTAATAATAATTCCCCAAGATCCATGTTGAAAACTGCAGGTGCTGTGAAAAGTCCTCAGAATTTAGATTATGCGGCCGTATAAACTTATACGGGTGCATCTCGTTCTCTTGAAGAATTCGATGTACCGCGGAGCGATGCATACTGAAATAAAATACAGAAATGTATTAATAAATGAAGAAGGATACTTTAATATTAACGTTTAAATACTATTAACATTACTTACCCTAAACGGCGAGCGACGTCTCCTATGCTTAGCGTTCCATCTTCATGGAACTCTTTGACTACCTCGCGTTCCTTTTGCACTCGACGTAAATATAAAAAATATAAAATTTTGCGTTAGTCCTTTGCAGAGACATTCCGATGGTTACTGTCCGGCAGCTCTCACGAAAATGCTCACGGGTCAAACATAGCTTTCTTTTCAAAAACCACTCTACCTTTACCCACCCCATGGCTGGATATTTTAACAAAAGTGTGCATATTGTTTGAAAGACTTCCCCGAGTCTGATTGCCATTTTTGAACGTCCGCACGTGTTTTTGGAAACAATCAATTATACGACAGCCGATAGCTGCGAGACTCGAATTCACCTGGATTGCCCATTGTCTCGTTTAGGCTTGACCGTGCAATAAATTGTGCGAAGACGAACTAACGAAAAGCTAATTACCTTAGATGACCCTTTTTACCAGACATTAAACATTCTGGTATAGCACGTACCAGCAGTCGCTTTACAAAACAAAGTTCGGAGTCGTAAAACAGTTCATTTCTCGCACCGACTGCTTTGTGTTTTCGTGCTATCTGGCCAGGTATTGACGAACGAGGACCTACATGAGTTGTGAGACACCCTGTATATTTTCATTTATATTAATTAACTTATGATTTTGATTTAGAGTAGGTAATATCTTCCATAAAAGTAATTGAATATTGAGTTAGAATAATTAAAACAAGATAATATATTATTTTATTTTATTTTTCTAATAAATAGTTTTGTATACGAAATTTCCGTT